AAAAATCCTACTTTTTAAAGTAGTAGGTAGTCTAACTTCTGCAGGACAAAGACTGAGGACGGAAATGTGAGTGAAATGTGCTCAGGCTGAAATAAAGTACTAGAGATGTAACCAAAGATGTGGGGAAATGATACTTTGGACAAGCTTTATGATTCCATCTTCAATATCTTTTTTTTTTTTTAATGAGGCATAACTTAGAGATAATAAACTGAATACATCTTAGGTTTCCATCCTGATAAAATCTTACACCTGGTTACAACCAGGTCAATATTAGAACATTTTCAGCATCTCAGCAGGTTCTCTTATGCTTTTTCCTATTAATATTCCTCTACACCAACTACAATCCTGACTTCCATCCTACTGGGTAGACTTGTAAATTCTAAACTTCCTAAAAATGAACTATTACAATATGTGACTTACTGTCTCTAGCTTCTTCCACTCGTTATTATGTATGAGAGGCTGATCCATTTTATGCTATATAGCAGTAGTTGTTTTTCATGGCTCCATAATATTCCAGTGTATGGATATACCACAGGTGGTATACTCATTCTTTTGTTGATGAGTATTTGAATTGCTCCAACTTTCAGCTATTATAAGATTCCTGTGAACATCCTTGTCAATGTCTTTTGGGGCAACCAAATACCCATTTCTCTGGAGCTATGTCTCTGGGTCACAGGGGGCAGGTATGTTTACTTTTAGGAGATACTGTCAAACAATTTTCCAAAGAGACTGTAGAAAAACTGCCACTCTCAACTAGGCTCTTACTAGTTGGAATTATGTTTTATGGTGAGCTTAAGGGTTTTTAAAGATTTTCCCTTTGTTGGATAATAGAATTTGCAGTAAATTGAACACTTTGATTGAAATCCCAGGTTGAAAAATAGGAGTTAACCACAGTCCTTGGGAAATATTAAATAGAAAACTTCAGCTCAGATTTGCCTTTCTAGAGAAGACCACCCATGATAACTCAACCAGTATGCAGATTCTTACCAAGACTTTTCTTCCAGATTTTGTGAAAAAAGCAAATATTGTGTGGAAGATATTCTCTTGTTCTTGAGGAATGATGCAGGGGATTGGGTTTTTCTGGAAAGAGCAGTTTCCCTTCTCTTGGCCCACCTGTAAAGGAAAAGAATTCTGTGAGAGTTGTCTGTTCTAAGAATGGGCCTGGAATGTCTTATTGCAGAGGTGGTAGCAGCAGAGGCCAAACCCAACTCTTCCCCTTTGCCCATTCTCCAGTGGGCAAGAGTGGCTGAAAAGTCAAAGGCAAAAGTGGTAGCATCCACAAGGCCAGATATTTGAAAATGTGAATCCATAAGTAATTAAGATGGGATGGCATATAACATGCAAACAAGGTGTGATTAAGGAAAAAATAAGATTTAAGACCAAAAAGTCCTTTATGCCTCCAAAGCACATCAACCAACATCCTTAAAGTAACTGAGACAGGCATTAATGTTCTTTCTCCCATGACTAAAGTGAGATCAGGTTGTCATTTGCCAACAGTCACACAGTCAAGAACTCAGGTCTGGCACCCAGGTCTTCTGAGACCAAGTCTTTATGCCTGGTCCACTGCCAGAGGTCTTCAAAGTGTGTAAACCTTAGGGTGCTGTAAAACCCCTCAGTACTCTCCTGAGAGATGGGGCTCCCAAGAGGGCTGAATTTGGGCCTCCTCCTCTGCTTCAACCAGAGCACCGGTCACATGCAATGTCATTTAAACTAGGGTTCTGCCACCAAATGCATAGTTGGGCTGTCACCACACTGAGTCACAGAGGAGCTGACATGCCCAGTGAGCTCGGTGGGTTACCTGATTTTGCTTCTTGTGGCGACACTGCTAAGCAACAATGGTCTAATAAGTCAAAACAACTCTGTGTAGTCTAGAGTCTTCTATTTTGATTTAAGAACAACACTATTCTTGATTTCTCAATTGAAGAGTTCTTGAGAACACTAAGTTTGCTTTACGTAGCAACATATCACATGGGTTGTAGTTAAAGACAAATGTCTTAAGTCAGGCTGCAAAATCACCAAGTAGGTATTCATAATTTAGGCTGTGCTAAAATTCCCATTTCTAACCAGAATAATCTGTTTAAACGATTTCTCTGATCTTTAAAATATAGTGAGTTTGAATTTACTCAAGAATGTTTCAACATTGTGCTAGGGAGCAAGGTTTAGTCTAAAAATTTTACAGAAAGAAATCTTTAACAATGCTAATCATTTAATAATTATAAAACAAGATTCCCCCAAATTTGTTTTTGGTCTGTGCACATATTCCAAGATTTACTATATATGCCAGAAAATAAATGAGATGAAGGTTTATTTCCTCAAATTAATTATTAGAAAAGAGATTACTGCCTTTAAATATCTCAGGCCTTGTGACTTCACACCCCTTAAAAGTACCTCATAATTTGGCACTTCAGTTGCTTAATTTGAACCACAAAATCTGGGAAGACACACCGCTTTGAAATGATCTCAATCAATGTTGGTTTGGGCTCCTTTTAGAGGTCACTAGGAAGAATTAATGTGAAGGAGAAGGTGAGATTTAACACTGATTGTTGATTTTTCCTAGGTTACAATTATTTTAAGCTGTGATAAGTATTTTAAAGCTCATTTTAGAAAACAAAACATAAGTTAACTAGTGAGCATCATGAATAATCACTTAGAAAACAAATGAAAAACACATGCTAAAATGTTTTGCACATGGGTATTTGTGCCTTGCAATAAAATTTCAGCATCAAACACGGATTCAAAATATTTTGCATTTTGAATAAATTAGAGGAAATGAACGTACTATGCACTAGAAAATTGATTTTAAAAGTAGCTTAGTAATTATATACATTGATCTCAAAAGATGCACATTTGCATGAAATCATTTTGCGAAATGAGTGGAAAGAGGAATATAAATTAGTCTATTATTCTTAGTCATTTAAAGTATGCCATTACATGACGAAGTGAAAGATGACAGAGTTCACTGATTCATTTTTCTAACTTATTTTATTGAGGCCAAATATATTCACTAAAATACACAGACCTTATGGACACAATTTATGGACTCTGACATATGAAATTGCCCACATAACTACCACCCTAAAGAAGGCACAGAACACATCTCTCTTCTAGAAAGCTCCTGTGGCCCCTTTCAGTTCCCAACTGTACCTCTCATGCAACCACTGCTCTGATTCCTACAAGATGGTAAAGTCTGTTAAATCATCCTGTTACAGGGTAGCCCCGAGTGGACTGGGCTGCCTATCTGTGGGGCCTCATCCGCATGCTCACAATTCGGTTATACTGCAGGCACACACAAAAGGGTCAATAACGGGTTTATTTACAAAAGGGGAAAGGAATAGGAAACAACTCAGGTAAAGAGAGCGGGATACAAAGTCACTGGAATACCTCACCGCTAGGCTGACTGAACACACTGGGTCAGGAGAACCGTTCCCCGAACGAGAGAGCGAGAGATGCAATCGGGCCCTATTTATCCCCTAAATGTCCCAGAATTCCTGCTAGCTCTGCCCTTGGGTCCTTACAGTTCTCTCCCTGGTGCTGCTGGGAGTTGTAGTTTCCAACACTGGAGTGGGGGATAGTGTCCAGAAAGCTGGAGTAGAGTGTGGAGTCCATAAGACGCTGCAGAGTTCCTTTAGGACATCCTTCCCCTTAACAATCCCATTAAGGAAGTGTGTGTGGGGGGATCATGTCTTTGGGGGTTGCCCTCTATTCAGGCACATAGAAGACAGAAACCATTTACAGTATTGACCATTTGAGCATGTGAATGTGTGCACGCGTGTTCCTGACTCCAGGAAGTTTTCACGCAGAAGCACGTGGGTTTCCCATTGCCTTCTGGAGTGGATGTTCGCTGCAAGTCCCCCTGTGCCTCTATGGCCCTATGGCAGGCACATGCCTCTGTCCAGCTGCCAGGCTCCACTGCCCAAATGCACTTGGTCTGGGTTTGGAGCAGCAGACCCTCTGCATCCTTCCCTAATTAGAATCAGGGTGGGGCTGAGTTCCTCCTGGCTTTGCAAATTTGTGCTTGGGTTTCCCAGCCTGGAGAGGAAGCTTGGGAGTGGAGCACAAGCTCAGTTGGGCTCACTAACGTGCTCTGGTTTGTGGAGGCTGGCGCCTTCATCCCCACAGGATGCAGGCACAGGAGGGCAGGGAGCTGGGGATGGTGGGATACCAGGGCAGGAAACCACCCCAGGCTCAGCACGAATATGAGGGAGGGGGGGCGAAGCTCAGAGCTCTGGGGCCTCTCCCGTGGCGGTGAGGGGGGCCTGTGAACAGGGGGAGATGGTGCTGTGCTGTGAGTTGATGTGACACAAGATCTGCTCCAGTGGAATTTGGAGAAGGGAAGTGGAGACTGAGTCTGTGGTGAATGGAAAGCTTAGGCAGTTGTGCTCCCGACTGCGGTTACATGGGAATCACTTCAATCAGGGGGAAACCACCTTCTGGGAGGTTCAGGGTGGTCCTCTTTCAAAGGAGACTGAGTCTGTATGGGCCTGATTCGGATCAGCTAATCCTACTGTAGACACTCCCTCAGCTAAAACTGAGAAACTCAGTCCTGGCTAGGGTCATAGGTGGGAAGGGCTTTCCTGTATATGTTGGACACATAGGCCAGAACCAAACACCAGCCACTTTTGCTGCTCTCACCAGGCGCCAGGCTGTGAGTGTTTCACACTTTCCATCCCCATGGCTGGGAGGTGAGTGTTATAACTATCCCCATTTCACAGGTGGGAAAACTGAGAGGCAAGGGAAGGCCAGCCCACACCCCCCAGCTGACAGGCAGTAGAAGTAGCTGGGGACACAGGCCGCCGACTTCCAGAAACCTGCTTGTAACTGCTTCCTCATCCCTTAGGCACAGCGGCTTTGGCCTGGAAGCCCAGGAATCCGGGCGACATCCACCCTGACCCAAGGCTGCCCCCTATGGCAAGATGACTCCCGCCTGGACCGTGGGGGGAGGTGAGGGGGCTTCTAGCAGGGTGGCCAGGTTGCGCCATGCTGTCTTGGGCTGGAGGGGAACAGAGCATCCTGGAATGTTGTTTCTGGAAGGCAGCTCTGAGATCATGCGGTCCCGTGGCCTTGGCTGACAGATAAGGAAGCAGAGGCCAGAGTTCCATGACTCGCCTAGGGTCATGTGATTGGCTGCTGGCAGCAGGGGCGCCTGGGAAGGAATGCTGCACCCAGGGGCCTTGCTGAGCTTCAGGGGCCCCGGACCAGCCTTTGTGCTTCTTCCTCACAGCTGTGCCATTTTGGGTGTTCAGGACCTCGGTTTCCTCATGTGTAAAATGAGGCTGGTGAACAATGAGGGCACTAAGGTTATCCTCAGTTGATTCCACACTTCGAGGACTATTTGTGTATTTACATTACAGCATGGGGTCACTAATCTCACATTTCACAGATAAGCAATTACTGATGCCCCACTCTGATGACTTGGCCCTAACTAAGGACGTCATGCTTTCTTGTCACATTAGACACTATCCAAGCGCCACACATGTTCTATAGCTTCATTTCCTTGGCTGAAGCCTTTGTGGCCACTGCCCCCTGCCCCTCTCTGCCCACTCACTTCTCATCTGCTATCTAGACTGAGTCTAAGTGCTTCCCATGACAGGGCTGCTTATCTTCCAGGACCGCTGGGAGCTGGAAGCGCTCCATGTCTACTGGCATGTGAATAAAAGGACTTCAGCAAACACACAGAATAGGGACAAGAGGCTGTGGGACCCATCTGGCCTTCCCCATTCCTCATGGCTAACCCCATGCCCCTGTCCCCTGTCCTATCCCCCTCCCCCCACCCCAAGAAAACCTGGTGCAAATTCAAAGTGAGACATGGTGGTGATGTGGGAAATTGTCAGCAGTCCAGGGAGAAGGTGGGCATCTGGGCCAGCCTCAGTCAAGGGAGCTTCTGTGGGCTGAAGCCTCCACAGATCGAGACCTGTCCAAGGACAAAGAGTCCCTGTACATCTAGATGGTGTGGTAAAGCCTGGCGTCACAAAAAAACTGAACTTGGAGTATGAATCACAGCTGATTCCATGGATCTGATACTGAAAATAAAAAGAATCAAACCTCATTTCAAATGCTGCCATCATCCGCTATTAGGTAGAAAAGAGACATCTCAGGCGTTTTGCTAAAGACTC